TTGAATAATAATGAATCCGAATTAACCATTTCAACCAAGTCAACATTTTTCTATGCCAGTCCTTGCTAGCGGTTGTCCTCCTGTATACAGGGTTGGTTTTTTTGTTTTTACGTTTGGCGGTTGTATTCGTGTAAATCCGAGTTGTGTATGTTTAATCTGAAATTTTATGTTGCCAATTACAAATTATAGTAGCCCCTGTTAGATTTATTTATAGGCTTCCAGAAATAGGTAGTTTGAAATAGCCTATAACGTCTTTGTAATTTTGTTCTGTCCTTGATCTGATATCAATTTGACTCTGCATCTCCTGTATCAAGTCAGGAAGGAAGCAAGTTATTTCGGACCTTGACCATTTCGTACCACTGCCATTTCGTACCCAAAATTACCATTTCATACCCATAATTACAATTGCGTACCCAACATTTACCATTTCGCACAGTTGTTTTTCACTCGTTCCGATTGTTGATAACGCAAGATAGATAGTATGTCATGGAACATCTGGTTCATCAATAAATGAGATAAGCTAAAACTTGAAGATGGCATACTTTACTTTCCTCTAGGTTTGCATACTGATTCAGGTATCCGATGATAGTTACCTCTATACTTATGATGTTTTCTCCAAAAGATAATTGGGACAATGACTGTACTGGGCTTTCACCATTATGGACTTCTTACGTCTCAAATGTAGATAGAAAATGGAAAACCTTCTTTTTCGCACGTGCATCATGAATCATGACAGATAAACATTGAACAGGAGCCAATGGAACAACCAGTGATCACTAATCCTACCATAGTATAGATGCCATCTTCAATATTAGCTTGTCAGATTTATTGATGAACCAGATGTTCCATGACGAACTATCTTGCTTGCGTATTGAACCATCGGAACGAGTGAGAAAAAAACAACTGAACCAAAACCAAAAGGAAAGAATTATTCAAAATATACGAAAGACATTCAATTCGAATGAAAAGGGTAAAAATTAATATATAAATATTTTGAATACATATCGTTCTCCCTAGATTGTACTTACACTTGTCTATCGCTTGACACTATTACTTCATCAAGGAGAGCCGAAAGATACCAAATGGACATTCAAACTCATAGGTCGAAAATAAACTGACAAGGCCAGGCAAAAAATAAAAAGATAAAAAATCAAACAACAGCATACAAAACACAACATAGAAAACTAAAGACTGAGCAACAAGAAGCCCACCAAAAGTCAGGGTTGATCTCAGGTGCTCCGGAAAGGTCAGACCATCCTGCTCCACATGTAATACCCTTCGTAATACTCATGTAAGTACAAACCCGGTGATAAGTCAAATTCGGTAGGTCACATTCGGGGAAAAGAGGACGGGGTTATAGTTAACACAATTGGAACATATCCGTCGTCAGCTGTGTAACAGATATTCCATAACGGTCATCGAACTCGTGATGGCGTCCGTAAAATCAACAAATTAGACCAATTGAAACTCTTTGTTAAATAGCTTCCTTGTGAACAGCAACCCTCTATCAAGGAAATCATGGTAGGAAATACAAGCCCTGGATTATCGTATCATAAATTGCATGTATTGCTGTGTGGTTGTTTATTCTACATTAGGAAGAGGTATAGGGGAGGGTTGATATCTCACAAAACATGTTTAACCCCGCCGCGTTTTTGCGCCTGTCCAAAATCAGGAGCCTCTGGCCTTTGTCCGTCTTGTATGGTTTTTAATTTTAGTTCATTTATATGTTTTGGAGTTTAGTATGAATTCCATTTTCACTGAACTAGTGCACATTTTTGTTAAGGGGTCAGTTGAAGCCCGCCTCCGGGTGCGGGATTTTCTCGCTGCGTTGAAGACCCATTGGTGGCCTTCGGTTGTTTTCTGATCTTTGTTCGGGTTGTTGTCTCTTTGACACAGACCCCATTTCAATTTTCAATTTTAAAGTTTAGAAAAGTACTACATTTGTTCACTTGCAATTTGCTTTTTTCGTTCCCTCAGCGGGATTGGAACTCGGGCTGCAGATATAAACTATCTCTTCTTTGTATAGATGAATACTGTACTATTTTTGTTGCACCAGATGACCATTTCAACGAATAATGTCTCTTCAGTGATGCTCGAGGCCAATTTGATTTAAAACCAAAACACTAAAACAAATTTTAAGAGCAATTCAAATCAAAATGGTCCAAAGTATAGCAACATAAAAAAAAAGAATCAACGCTTTGTACAAGGGAGATATATTCCTTGATTTTTTATAATTTCCAAAATTTCATAACAGCAAATTTGAGCAATATCCGTATTTTCATGTCAGTTCCGAAGTACTTGTTACTGTGCTGGTGAAACCCTCGGAGATTTAGTCCAATAGGAGAGGCATGGACCCAGTGGTAGTACTAATATAAACGGTACTAATTTTATTGCAATAGATGTGCATTTAAAAATTTCGATTAAAAAAGACAATTTGAAATCTCTTGATTTACAGGTTTTACATTGTGTGTTCCTTTAATTTTACGGTTTGAAAATAAAGATCTTCTTTCTGTTTTGTTTAATTTAACATATTTCAATAGAAAGATGTAGTTGTCTCGCCTGCGACGAAAGTCGTGGAAAGCCAGACATGTAGATTGCTTTTCCGGAGACGACGACGACGAGGACGTCAACAATTGTTAAGTTTTTCTGTTTAAGTTAGTTTATTAAGAACTACTTGTGATAGATCATTGATATTTAATATAAAGTTGCATTACTATCAGAACATATCAGTTTGACGACTAATTTGAAGCCCTGCTACCTATGTCATGGTCCAATGACTTTGACTTTATTAGCTATTTTCAATGTTAAGTTTTCCGCTAAAATTAGTTTGATAGGATCTACTTGTGATAGATCAATGGTATTATGTATGAAGTCGAATTACTATTATTACTTATCAGTTTGACGACTATTTTGAGGTCCTACCTTCTAGGTCATGATCCAGCCACTTTGCAATAATAAGCAACTTTTGATGATAAGTTTTATGCTTGAGTCAGTTTGATAGGAACTTCTTGTGATAGATCATTGATATCTGATATAAAGTTGCATTACCATCAGAACATATCAGTTTGACGACTATTTTAAGGCCCTGCTACCTATGTCTTTTTCCAGTGACTTTGAATTTATTAGCTATTTTCAATGTAAAGTTTCCCCTAAAATCAGTTTGATAGGATCTACTTGTGATAGATCAATGGCATTTTGTGTGAATAAAGGCAACAGTAGTATACCGCTGTTCAAAAGTCATAAATCGATTGAGAGAAAACAAATCCGGGTTACAAACTAAAATCGAGGGAAACACATCAACTATAAGATGAAAACAACGGAACAACAGACACACTGAAGTGCAACAAAAACAAACGCCAACATACATAGAAACGAACTATGTGATAAAAACTGTCATATTTCCTGACTTGGTACAGGACATTTTATGAAAAAATGATGGGTTAAACCTGGTTTTATGGCTAGCCAAACTTCCCGCTTATATGGCAATGTTATAATATCGCTGAAGTATGAAGTCGTATTACTATTAGTGCATACCAGTTTAACGACTATTTTGATGTTTAAAATGAATTGTCTATATAAAAAAGAAGATGTGGTGGTATGATTGCTAATGAGACAACTATCCACAAGAGACCAAATGACACAGAAATTAACAACTATAGGTCACCTTACAGCCTTCAACAATGCGCAAAGCCAATACCATATGTTTAGATGTTAAAACCACCAAATGTAATATTTCAAATTTAATTTTTAAATGTACCTTCTGTTTCTAAAAATTTCCTGCAGTGAAACAGTTACAGAGTCTGACCATTTTGATATGGGATCCACAATTTGATTGAATTTTCGCATGTGATTTTGGACACTGCACTCAAACTTTTCCATTAGATTGAAAAAGAAATAGATTCTATATAATTTGCATTACAAAAAATTAATGGGATAACAACACGTTTTTTTATTGAAAATAGACATATTGATTGCTCTAAGAATAAAGACAAAAGGTAAATTTTACAATAGTGTTTAACAATTGTTTTAACAATACTCCAAAGGAAACTGGTGTTATATGAAAAATTCGTGTTTGCCTCATGCCTTTTCAAACATTTAGTAATTACTCAAGTACTGATGTCTTTATATTTCTAAAATTAATCACAAATGCCATAGTTATATTAACGGTGTAAAAAGTATGTGTATTCAAAGCAGGAACAACCAAAAATCGTTATATGTGTGCTTTTTTTAAATAAATAATTTAAAATACATATTTATCGTTAACGTTTTTTTTTGGTAGAAGAGTAATTTTGCCTAAGTTTCTCTAAGTTTGAATACCAATTCGGATAGCCGATGATAGCAACCTCTTCGTTTGTAACACTTCTACGATATGTTTTCTCCTATTGACAAGTGAGGCAATGGCTGTACGTTGCGTTCACTATTAAAAACTTTGTTCGCCTTTAATGTAGCACAAAAGTATGAAACCTGTACTTTTTGCACAATATATATCTAAATATATAGATATTGTTTTTCTCTAGGAAGCGGCTATAAATGAATACAATATGTACCTCTTGTTTTCTATGGGAATCGGCTATACATGACTACAATATGTACCTTTTCACGTTTGAAATTCCGCGCATTTATTACATCCTAATTTTGTTTTACGGTCCGTCAGCAAGACTAGAACCCGTGTTGCATGCATAAATATTTCCTCTTTTGTAAACATAGGAAATTTCGTTTTAAAAGGACCATTCTGAATTTGTTTTTATTGTTTTACTTTGTTGGTTCGTTGAAGAATAAGGTTAAAAAACTATCTTGTTTCTATTTTTGTTTTACTTTAACACAGTTCAACAAAAAAGTCAATTTTACTATACTGTCAATATTTACATGAGATAGAAGTATGCGATTTATTTGTTGGATAATAGCGGTCAAAAGAGCTAACGTTTACGTAGTTGGTAACATTACCTATATTCCGATGTTTTTAATTGATCATGGTCATGTGATCTTATGTTTACGGATGACGTACATAACTGGTTTGACCTTTAAAAAATCAAAATGGCGAAGATAAAGAATAACGTAGTTGTTTATTATGCTGAAACATTATATTATCTATAAAATTGAAGTGAACCACACCAAAACAGAAGAATACCTCAGACAGTAAGTTTATTTTTGAATACATTTTAAATATTCTACGTTTATGTCAAAGTCTCTACGAGAAGATAGAAATCTCATGCCTAATTATTTTAGGCAGGTTTCTTACTAAAACCTTAAAATTATGTTTGAATTCATCAAGTAAATATACCCTATCAAACTTGCTAAGTAAATTTATGTGTCCTCTTCTCGCTTAAATAAGTTCTTAACTTCATTCTTATTTTTATTGTGATTTTACGAAAGTCGGTGCATGGAACTCCAAAATATATTTTAAAAACAAACGAATATGAGGAAGCACCTTTCTACTCCCATAATCTCTCTTTGTTGGTTTAAGATTACACCACGGGGAAGTGTTCAGAAAAAGAATATCAATAAACCCACACAAATAAGGTTTTAAGAAAAGAATGACAATATGCATAAAGCCGGTAATAATATTTTGCTGAAGTTAATGAGGGAAGTATGACCCGAGGTTAAAATATGACTCACTTCTATTTTTGTCAAAATCATTGATGTAAATAAAAATGTTTATTGTTATGAAGAACGTTAAAAATTACCCTAGATAATTTCAATATAACATGTATAAATACCTGAATAGTATGATATCTGAATACATTTAAAATAAATCAATGTTTATTGCTCAGTAGTTTTCTATTGACTTTTGTTCGCAATCTAAATATAATACAATATTTAGGTTTGTGTTATGAGGCCAATAGACAAACATATTTATATTTTGGAAGGTAGTGTCTATGTGTACGTGTTAAAATTTGAAAAAAGTAATATTGCAAATGTTAGGCATTTCGATTTAAAATGTCAATTTTGAATTTCTAATAGTGGTGTTTTTGTGGGTTGGTTTAAGTATATGGTTAAAATCCATCTCCAAAATATCTTGTTTTTTTTTGTTTTTTTTTACTAAAACACACTTCAACCAAAAAAGTTATTTTACTATACGGTTACTATTTGTATTAATATATGTGCATTGGGATTTATTTGTTTGATGAAGGTTATTTAAATGGAAGTAAGATCCGAGGTTTACCTTGATGGTGAAATAACTTGATTTCCAAATCTGTTAATTGACCTTGTGATCTTATGTTTAACCGTTGATACGAAACCCGTTTTGGTCTTTTAAAAACTGAAATGGCGAAGAGGAAGAATAATGTAGTTAAACATTTTGCTAAAAAATTAAATTCATACCAAAAAGGAGAATACATCAGACAGTAAGTTTTTTTTAATTTGATTTTGAATATTTAAAGTTTTTGTCAAAGTCTTCATGAGTAGATGAAGTTTATCAAAACTTTAAATTCTTATTTTCTTGTAATTATACAAATAATCAGTGCACGGACCTCCGAGAACAGATAATGACGAAATGACAAAATTAAGGCAATACCCCTCCACTGTGCTGATGGTGATAAAAGTCCCATAATCTTTAATATTTTGGTATACTACACCTCAATGAAGTCTGAAGAAACGAACATAAACCTATTCACTGAAATAAGGTATTAAGAAAAAAATAATAAAAAAGCCAGTTATGTTCTTTTGCAGACTTATATAAGGAAAGTGTGACCCGAAATTAAAATAAGTCTAACCTCCATTTTATGAATATCATTGATACAAATACATGGTTTATTGTTAGACAAATCTATTTAAAGATTGCCCTAGATAATTTCAATATACTATGCGTAAACATGTATACATTTAAACTTAACCATGGTTATTGAATCAGTATTTTTTTTTTTTTTTGACGTTTGTTCGCGATATTAATTTGATACAATATTCAGTTTTGTGTTATGATGCCAATAGAAACGAGGGTTATGTTGTAAAGGGATGGACTATGTTTATATGATACAAGCAGGAAAATGTAATATATTTCAAATATTCATTTTTTAATGTATCTCTTGTCTATCAAAATCGCGTGAAGTGAAAATGATTCTAAAGATTTTGATAAATTTGGTATCCCCAATTTGTCCAATTGTCGTGTGATTCGGATAAAACTTATGGTAATATTATACGGATACTTGTCTTTTTAATCAATGAAGAATCAGAGAATGAGAATAGTTTAAAATTAAGCAACAGAAGATACGAAGAAGATAGATAACTCTTCGTTTCCTTTTTAAGTGCTTGTCCTAAGTAGTTTTCGTTTCAAAAGTTGCATCCGCCGTGTTACTCATGTCAAATAAAATAGCTTTTCGATTACTAGCATGATTGTTTTAAGTTAAAGGATAGTGCTAACAAATTTTATTCTTCGCGTGAGGCTCTCATGTAGGACGTTTCTCTTACACAAAAATAAACCCAACAAAACAGCTCATCGTTTCCTTTCTAATGGACATATTATTGAAAGACTCTCCTTCTTAAAACAAAAAAACAATTATTCAAGTTCTCGTGTTTTATATTACTAGGTTAATAACAAATGCCATAGTTATTTCAATAATGTAAAAGGCATGTTTACTTTAAAATGATTAGACATAATATGATTGTGTATATAATTATACTTGACACATTCGATTTTTTTATCAAAGAAAGCCGACAATTAAAAAATTTAAACATTACATTGCAAAATCTTGATGGAACTGATCTCCCCGAAATAAAACAATCGGAAAAACCTTCCCTTCAAAACAACTACTATAAAAAAAAGTTTACAATTAATGTATTTTATCAATGCATTTTTTTTAGTGAAAAGATACACAATATACCCCAAAAGGCATGTTTTCATTTGCATATTTTAATAGTCATTACATTAAATTGAAAATTTCACATAGTTGTTTAGTATTGCTTTCTATTTACAATAAGGTTTCTTTCTGAACACCATTCTAAAGAGCCCCGGTAACAATCGGTATTTTTACCCAGTACCTAAACCATTACTGACATGATTTTTTAATACATTCATGTATTACGCTTTGTTTAATTGCATTTAAAATTATAGGTTCAAGGCAGAAAGCATAATTATACCAGATGAAATTTACACTTCAAACACGAAATGAAAATATAGCAAATTTGTAATGAATATCAGTCAACCTGAAATATTTCATTGTAATCTTTTAATATTTAAACGACTCTAATACAATTGCGAAATAACAATCTATTGGAAATAATCACCATACGGCATTAAAACTGTTCGTATCTCATCTTAAATTTTCAATGAACAGGCCTTATAAGCTTTCTGTTGACTTTGCTCTCAAAATACAAATGATGGCTCCGCTATAAAACTGTTTAACTTGGCAAATGTTAACAAATTATTTATTTCGATTTTTTCAGTTTTCTCATCCGAAACAACATTTCGCTTTGGAAATGATTATACTTTTCATCTGGACAGACGGACATTAAAAATGCACCACATATTTTGGTGTTTTTTTTTTACTAAATCATGATTGATCCCCATTTAACTATTATTCATGCTTACTGTACTTCTTTCTTTCAAAAATTCAATACCTGACTTAGCTGATGTTATTGGAAATGACTATGATTTTCATCTATATATAAATTTCATATTTTAAAGTGAGAATTAAAAAGAATAATCTAGTGTTGTGTCTTATAGTCCATCAATATATAAATTACATCTAGCTACATTGAATGTTCTGTATAATTAAACACTTTGATGGAGGATAGTAGACTCCATAATACTTGAATGCAATCGTTAATGTGACTATTTTATGGAGGAAAATAACGACTTCCGTAACAAGATTAAAAATTTATAAGCTCATTAAATTTGATAGAATAAGGACAATAGCATAAACCCGATGATACATTACTTACCTACTCGTTACGTAGATCGGTGCTTATGGTAGAATGTAATACAAACAAAAGTAGGGAAAAAAATCGTTTTTAAGATCTTTTAGGTTTTATTCTCAGAACATCAACAAAGTAAATACATTGCTTAGTCTCTTCGAACAGTTAAAATTGGCTGTTGAAATGATATAGATGTGTCTATATATAATTGGCATTTCCTTTGTTTTTATAGAAATCAGCATATACAAACACACTGTAATAACTCGTAGTTTACTTAGAAGACATTTAAATTTAATAATAGGAGTCATAGCGCTAATAACTGAAAAGTACACAGATGGTTTACATTATTGAAAAGGAAAGCAAAGTGACCGTGTTAAATTAGCTAACAATGGACAAAGAAATTTAAATAAATTTCTCGATTTACCATTATCACGAACGCTAAATACCAAATATGTAAAAGCAAAGGACGTTTAAAAACCGAAACGAACTACGGATATCCGGACAATTGTTTAATGCAAAAAGTATTTTCAATATAATACTTAAATTTATTTGAAACTGCTGACTATAAGAAGAAGGTATAGAAAGTGTGTTTTTTTAAAACTGTTATCATAATGTCAGTTTTCAATGTGGACGAATAGTCCGTGGTGTTAGCACTGAAACTGATTTACTTTTCCACAAACATCTTTAACAACTCCAACTATTACGTCTTTTTTCATTTGTATTGTTAAATATCTTTGAATATTCAGTTATAAATGCTTAACAATAATACATAAGAAACACAGTATTCGTTTAGGCTACATTATCAACTCTCAATAAAACCTAAGAACTACAGTATTCGTTTAGGCTTTATTATCAATTCTCAATAAGGTATCGAAATTAAAATTACAAAGGAGGAGGTGTAACACTCATGTTGTTTTGTTTTGACAATGTATTGAATGTTTATCATTATTCCAATGACGATAACACATTTTATCTGCTAATGGATGACTTAAGGCTTTTACCTATTACATTTTGTTTGCAGATGGATATCATTACGTTATATCTATAAGTTTTGTCTGTAAGAAATAAACTGGTGACCAGATAAGATGATATAGCATCATGTCCGAAATATTTAAAGATCGCCATGCAAAGTTAGGATGCATGGTCCTGAGATTGTTTCCTAAAGTTATGCAGACGATCTTGGAACATTATGTAAATCCACCATGGTTAAAACGAAAATACTTGAAGCAAGATTTCCGTTTTGTTTTTACGGATAAAGAAATCGTTTTAATGGACAAGCTACCAAACATGGATGAGTTTACAATTGAAATATGCTACAAAATACTAAGATCTGAAAACATGCTAGATGAACCTAAATGTAAATGGGGAAATGTTCCCCATGATACTGAAATAGAAATTGCCGATGACATACAACGGCTAGTTAATGCAACTAGTTCAATAATTGGTATTAAATCTGAAGCGGTAACCGAACGATATTCCGAAGAGTTGATAGAGGAAATCAAATTGATGGTCACCAGAATTGATTGTTATTTGAAACAAGACACTTTGGGAAGTATGTACAACAATTTGTGTAGATCTGAAACAGATCCTATTTCCATCTTACAAGATCTTACAAGAGTAAAACCAATTGATAGTAAGTTTCAAATAAATCAGTATTTTTAAAGGTAAAATTATAACGTTAATTAATGTGTGTATCAAAAATAAAACGGTAACAATTTCCTGCTCATATATTTTTACCCATTTACAATGTTAACCCTGCATTTGGTCTCGAAAAAATCACATGCAGGTTGTTCAAGAAACATAAGTTGTGCAATACAAAATCGGTATCATACGTATTAATCTATAAAGGAAGTACCATCCACCAAGTACTAGTGTTGTAGTACAATTGGTCTTATGCATACGATACATTTGATTAAAAAAATGTCATACAATTTCACTTTATTTATGAATGCATTACTAAAATATATGTTATTAGTTCAAAGTCAGATGAAATTGATAATTTAAAAAAATTATTTTTTAATGGCAGAATCCTTAACGAATATTGAGAGTGAGAAGAGAGAAAGGTATTCTAGGCTGTCGATCCCTATCATCGAAACTTTTCCCAACATTCTACGAGATGTTATTCGAACGATTATGCCTGCTAAACTGCTGTATCAAAAGTGTATTCCTGTTCTAAAAACCTTCTATCCCGAACAGCAAACAAACATTAAAGAGCTACAGTATTCAAATACGTACGGTTCGTTAGATGTTACATTAATTTACCAACTATTAAGACAGTTTTCATTAATACCATCACCCACAAAAGGCTGGGGAAGACTTCCAGACAAAGTAGATATAAATTTAGGAGATGATATTGAACGAATCCGATTCTACAGAAATAAACTTGCTCATCGAAGCGACACCAAAATTGAAAAAAATGAGTTTAATGAATATTTCGACGAGTTTCGTGGTATTGGTAATAGAATGGATCTGAATTTCTCCCAAACGACGAATTATGAAGAGCAGATAATTGGTTACAGAACATGTGGGGTGGATACCGCAATGCAGGCAAAATTTAAAAATGCAATGAAGGAGATTGAAAACATTAAATGTAAGGCTGCAATTAATCTTACTGTGATGTATCTACTAACTGCAGTATCTCTTATTTATTTATATATATGCACAATCAATTATAGACTATTTAATATACAGTCTTTAATTATACACTTTACAACTTAGTCTTTAACTATATACTTAATGACATGCAGTCTTTTATTTTAGACTTCATAGCATACATGTACCGTCTTTAATTATAAACTTTATAACACACAGGCTTTTATCATACACTTTACAGCACAGTCTTTAATTATAGACTTGATAAAATACAGTCTGTTATATCAGACATTGTAACAAACAGTCTTTTATTTTTAGACTTTACAACATACAGTCTTCAATTATAAACTTGATAACATTCTGTCTTTTATGTTAGAAACTTATAACATACAGTCTATTATGTTAGACTTTGTAACACATAGTCTTTAATTGTAGACTTTATAACACACAGGCTTTAATCATACACTTTACAATATACATTCTTTAATTATAGACTTTATAACATACACTCATTAAATATTATTTCCGACTTTGCAATATACACAGATTAAAGGATTTATAACATACACGCATTAAATATGAGCAACAAAAGAAAAAACTATGAAGCTTACCAAACATTTATACTGTTTATCGAGATCCTCAAGAAGTGAATGGAAAAATATATAAGATCAATTTTGTTGATGTTAAATAATTTCAGAATATTTTCATAAGCTCAAAGAAAGTTTGTGCTAGTAAGAGGAGAATATAAATGCAAGAACAACATGTAAATATCTAACAGATATATCATACAGGTTAAGAACGCGTTTTAATAACAAAAATGTGAAAATTCGGGAATAGCAGTTTACCTCGTTTTGAATTAACATAATTTATTTATTAGTTGTAACTGGCTATAAACTGTCTTTCAGTAACTACGACTACTATTATCTCAGTGATTTGTGTCCATTATTTGTTAACCTTCGTACCAATCTTTTGAATTAAGCTAATTGCAACTGATTATTACAGTTTGTTCTTATGTGGCGCTGTTTCACCACTTTCCCAGGAAGGCGGAGGGTTGATCGCTATAAGCATGTTCAACTCAGTCACATTCTTTATGTGCCCGTCCCATGTCAGGATTCTGAAGTGCAGGGGTGTGGTTGGTTCATGCCTTTTATATTTGTTTTTTGTTATGTTATAAATTAGGCTCTTATAAGTGTCATTGTATGGGTTTTTCATTGTCGATTTGCATCAACTTAATTTCGATATTTTATATTTTTGTTATTTTTTTTCCTTCTGTAGTGAGATATGAAAAGAGGCCTATAAAGGTGTATTGGGGAGAAAGCTTTGATAGATCTTTGATGAATCTAAGATCGTTGTTAAAGGACACAAAATTAGAAGGTAATTTGCATTTATATATAATAAATATATTTTGGCAGGTTAGACACTTTCAAGTTAAAACAAATCGTGTGTAAGAAATACACTATACAATAAATGTGTATATACAAGTAGTGACAGAGATTATTTTAAAAACTTGAGTACTCACATATAAAGAAAACAAGGAAAATAATGAGGATTCTGGTGTCCAAGTTCAAAGTACTTATGTTTATATACTTATCATTGCAATTAGTCTTTTTGTGCAAGAAGATGATTTAAAACAATAACAATTTTTTTAGATTGGACAGCAATTATTTAATAATAAATATTTAAAGAGAGTTATATGGTGTTTCATCTGAACCCCATAGAAATAGGAAAATGGCGAAACTAAACAATTCAAAAATAGTGTATTGCCCTATATGTAACGGAGGTGTCTTTATTTTAAAATTTTTCTATTTGTTTCCAATACATGCAAATATATATAGACATAAAGCTGCCAACTCCGTTTTGGTACACTTTATACGGCAAAATAATATTTGTGTTTATTTGTGTAGGAAGACAGAAAATCAGTGTACAGATCGTCTTTCAGAACGACGCTGATGTCGAGAGCAATATCGAAGTCCTTAATGCACTTAAAGAAGAAATAAATGAAGGTTTAATTGGTATAGAATTCATTGTTGCCACTGAAGGAAGTGTTGTTCTGAATGTAGATATACTGCTGGAAATGTTTGAAACAGACGACAAATTACTAACGACCCTGACTTTATTTCTAGAAAAGATTTTGACACGCATTACTGTCTTCCCTACTGAGACTATTGATATAGTTTTGTTACCTGTAGAAGGTTTGTTAGTTATGTTAAATCAATATCTGATTCGCGATTTTTAATGATGTACATTGTGAATAATCAATGTTTCAAAAAACAATAAAATATCGGCGGTTTCAGTTGGGGTGAAACTCAAGTATATTTTGAAAAAAAAAAACATCAGTTAAAAGGATTATATTTGCCATCAGAAACACACAGTCCTGTAAAAATTAATAATTTAAGGATATTTATTGATCGATAGGTTTTTTTCTAACGTGACAGGAACACTTATGTATTTAAACCATTGGGTAGGTTTTGCAAGATACATCGACCAGAATAAAATGCTGAAATTTGTAGTGCCTTTGGCAAATATTATTATATTTTTAAATCCACCTTAAGGGTTTGAATGTTTTTCATACTGAATTATTCATCTTATTTTATCGTATAAATAGATATCCTAGCTTGTTGTCATTTATTGTCACACAACTTATGAGCCACATCAGTGTGGATTCAACATTTCGTACAACGTGTATCTGCCGACACTTTGCAATGCAGATATAAAAATACGTAGTCCTTTAAAAACTTTACACGCATGCCTTTCCTTTATAAAATCTGAACTTAGCTGAGGCCATACAAAATAATTATGGACATGTTGGGTAAAGCTTAAAAGATATCAAAAACTAAGTTCGAAAAAGCAAAAATGGTAGGGATTTTGAGCTCAACTTATTATTTTCTTTATTTTACCTTACAGAGAACACACAATGGAATAAACCAAAAACCATAGGAGAACAAGTTTATCTAGAATTTGACATAGAAGCCCACTTACTTGAAAACGACGATATAATGGTTGAGCAATTAAGAAAAATATCTGACGCCATCTTCAAATATTCAAACGGAGGCGGAACAATTCAGAATATTACTGCAACACTCCTACCTATTGATCTTGGTAAATAGTTTATCAGTATAATTTTATCATTTGTAAATATACACTGTACCTGTTAATACTTATAAAAACAGACAAATAAAGTAATTTTCTTCCATATTGGTATTATTTTAGAAGGTTTTCTATACGAATTAGATTTTGAGTAAAACAACTTATTCACCCAAAAAGCGATATTCCCCGTGCTTAAATGTGTATAGTTATGGTCAATATTTTAACGTACGTTCGGTTTTAGCAAATAATTGTTATTAAACATTTTTTTTCTCGGTTCAGAAAAGAAAACTATATTGTCTTTTGATTGTGTAAATAGTGGGTTTTATTGACTCTTTGGTATCCGTGAATATCAATTTTTCAAAAGTAAAAATAAAACAACAAAATATAGAGTTCCTTGCATGTTTCTACTTTTGTTTGGTTTGGATTCTTGGGTTAGACATTATATAATGAATCATAATTGATCCACCATACTTTTGTTTCTTTTTCGTTTTCAATAGTTATTTTTTCTTTGTTGTTCATGTTAAATAAGACCTAGAAATAAATGATGGTGGACATGTCACAACCAAATCCGTCACAAATGAGATATTATAAAATAGTCAAAATGAAACAGCGACTTTGTGTATCTGTTAACCTAAAACCATTGCTTTTGTATTGGCATACCGTTATGATATTGGTTCAATTCTCAGTTCATTTTAAATGAATTCTTGGTGTGCACATGTTTTGTGCATTTTTTTGTTGTTTCTTATGGGTATATAACAAAGAAATAAAACGATGAACAACACATGTCCCCATAGCCTGATGTGATACAGGCTCACAATGTGGTTAGGTTTAATCATATTTACATTCGCACGATCCCAACCTTCTGCTTTGTCTATATTGACCGTTTGTCGTTAAACGAAAATACAAAATAGAATAAACTGCACAGTGCAGATACAATAGACTATTTTCATATTACCGACTTTTGACTCCGGATTGTATAATTTGTCGACTGGTTATCTTGGACATCATGGTACTCGGTCAAGTAAAAGCAACCAAAATAAGTAAAAAATCAAACGTATAATCGGTGTAATTTGAGGGGAAAGTTTTTTGTTTTCCGATGATTTTGTAGTGAAAACAAATATTAACCAGGTAATTTTCCCCCAAAAATGTACCGATTGAAAGCTTGGTTTTACTTCTTCAGCTTGCTCTTACCTGACTTGGTACCATGATGTCCAAGGTAACCAGTCGACAAATTATATAATCCGGAGTCAAAAGTCGGTAATATGAAAATAGTCTATAAGGATAACCACTAACGTAAACATTGAAATAAAATAATTAACATAATTGAGAAAGCAGAGTCAGATCAGTTTAACTTTCGCTGCACAGTGCAGCTACATAAAGGATAATTGCTTATGTGAACACTGAAATAAAAAAAAGGTAGATAATTGGAAAGCCGGGTCAAAATGTTCTCGCTACAATAGGATGCTAGCTAAGGTAGCTACATCTGCTGGTTGCACACTGTCGCTAAAAAAAAATAAAAAACACTCCAAACAGGTTTCAGGAAGTCTCTTTATAACCTGAGTATTTCCGAGAGGCCAGTAGTCTAAAAGTTACTAGACTATCGGGAAAAAAAATGTTTACGAAATAAGTTTGTATATAACGCCTGTAGACCTTCCCTTCAAAAGATTTTAGAAATTTTCCGAGTTCATATATATTGTTTTTCATTGTTTAAGTTTATTTAACGACATCACAATAGAAGATAGAATGACAAATATGGTCTACTATCTTTTTTTTTACTAGAAACATTGGTTCATGTGATATTACAGATTTGATGCAGATACCGACTGTAAACATCTTTAAAATTATCCGAAAGTCTGTGGCAATAGTAACTTTGTAAAAGTAACATTTGGAATATATGCACGAATACTTTTATGTTTCTCAGTTTTACTTTTCATATTATGTCAGAGAGGAACATAACCGTCCGAAAATGGAAAGCTTGTGAATGCATAGTTAATCGTCTCATATGTCGTATATCTAAGTTTCAATTTTGTTTCCATTGTGTACTTATATACCACAAAGGAATCCTTAAAAAAAAGAAAAGATTTCAACAGGTAACTGTAGTTGTGTTACCAGAATTATGCCCCTTTCAAATAAAACCGTTGATCTTATTGACCTGTCAACATTTGTTGATGGCAGCTCTTTGGTCAGTTCTCTAAAATTAAATTTACAACCATTTTGGCTTGAAGTTGTAAGCTGTCCCCTAAATGAGTTTATTATTTTTGTCCCAAGAGTACTGCCTCAATGAAGTATTTGCCTCGCGTTCAACTCGAAATTGGAATCCTTTCAATGGTTTTTGAGCTTGAAACAAATACCATCGGCAATTGCATTACTATGAACTGTATTTGTTCTCAATAATAACTATTCAAACTGAAATATTGCACATGCCTCGTTTACAAATGAATGTACCTCAAAAGACTTCTCTTTATACATGTTTATTTTCTTACATATAATTTTTATGTATTAGTTGCGTTATTAAAATCTTATTGGTATTCAAGAAATAGATTATTGAACACGTGAATATATAGCATGGTACAACACAACTTATCATTAGTGGTATTTACTGATCTTTCATTCATAAGACAGATCTTTGAAAAAGAAAGAAATTACACTTTATTTCGTGGAAATTGGATGTATAGTTTTTGAGATATGATATTTTGAAGGTTTTGAATATGTCTAATTCTTAACATAGTGCTCAGTTCGTCCTGCTCTTAAGTTTTTAATTTTCTAATCTAAAAGCCTTCTTTAACATGTTTAGTTTTTCGGTAAATTTCTGTGCAAAATATTTTTTCTATTGCAGTAGTTTTACAGTCTATTTGTCCCTAAATGGAATATTCTTTTCCTGTGTTATCACAGAATACTTTGGTTTTATAAATGTGTGAACAAAATGCACAATACTGATACTGAAAAAAATCAACTTTCTAGATGTTTTTCTAGCCATTGAAAACGGAACACTTAAAACATATATTTATACAAAATCCACAGATAAGCACCAGTACCTCCATGTTTCGGCGAGCCATCCAAATTCAGTCAACAATGCAATACCGTATGGACTCGGTATTCGTGTTTAAAGAATTTGTTCAACAGAAGAAGATTACAAACCAAGAAGAGAAGAAATAAAAACGCACGTGCAAAACCGAGGATATCATTATTTGTCAACTGAAGATCAATTGAAAAAAGTTGAAAAGTTAAACTGGGACGATCTTTTAGAATACAAAACAAAAAGAGAAAAACAACAGAGTACATTTAGTGATTACTTATTCCAAAGCGCTTCATAATATCAATCCATTCTCAGAAAACATTTGAAAATTCTGCACTAATCCGATCCGCCTATCATAGCGTTCAACCGTGACAACAACATTAAAGACATCTTAGTGCACAAGAAACATAATTTATTATTTTACAAATAGAGTAACAGCTGTCGACCATGCGGAAAAAATTGCATTATGTTCACACATAAATGAACCAAAATATTCTGTGATAACACAGGAAAAGAATATACCATTCAGGGACAAATAGACTGTAAAACTGTGGGCGTAGTGTATGCAATAAACTGTACGAAATGCGAAAATAACTTATATATGTAGGACAAACAGGCGATACACTGTATCAAAGCATGTTATTGAACTTTTAAAATATAAGAACTAACAAAACAGACGATCCAGTAGCAATCCACTGCATACAACATAACCATTATTACCGAAAAACTAAAGAAGCCTTTTGGATTAAAAAATTAAAATCTTTAGAGCCGGACGGACTGAACATTATGAACTAACGGTAGTAAAAAAAAATACATAAAAAGGAAAAAGCGCGATAAATATACGTCAAAGAAGTTATTGAAACGTAATGTATTCAAGCAATGTGATTGTGGTTTTAAAGTTGTAATTTAATTCAAATTTAACAACATGTTGAACATGACTATGCTCAACTCATTTCTGTTTTTCAATCTTTCATTTGTACACGTTTTCTGTGTTCCGTGGATTCTATGCTGTGTTCTGAATATGCTAATCTCCAATTAGAGCTTTAGTGAGTTTTCAAATTTAAAAGTGAAAATAACACTCATAGACGTCGATATAATCATAAAAAATGCAGTTACAAAAGATTAAGGTCGTGAAAGATTCTATACAACATGTATTGTAATTGTGTAAGACTTAACAAAACTACAACAACATTCTATCACTTGTTGCGGTTACCTGCACTATAGTTAAACCTTTTATTAGTTCAAATAATGAAATCAATGCATCATTATCTATTTCAGAAGATATAACCACAGAAGCATTCGCCCAAGCTGGAATACCTGTCAAATACAACCTTCCCGTTTCTATCACTTTGCGTAAACAGTTAAATATCAAAAAGCCAACGAACGAAATTCAGGGCATTACAAGCTGTGTCAAAATTGGCAATAAATTAATGTTTTCCGACTATTTAAATAACCGACTAATTATTTGTAATGCAGACGGTACTGATATACATCACATTCCTCTGTCCTATAAACAACGGTATGTTACAGAGGTATATAGTAGCTCTGTGGCAGTATCCTGTAGTGAAAGAACCATACTAATAATAGATATATCTACAGGTTCTGTCACCAGTACAATCCATACTAGTGACGACTGCTACGAAATATCATATAATGATAATAACCTGTACGTTGTTATTTGTAAGGGTATAATACATGTGATGGACCTGACAGGTAAAGTAATACGTACAATACCTTTACCTTCAGACGATATAAGCGACAATACAGTAGACGGAGACAGGATGGTCTGTATAGACTTGAGTTCAATATACTGCTGCTCGTTAGATGGAAATCTAATTTGGAGTTTTACAAATGATAAATTTCAAGATTTACGTCGTGTGACAACAGATGACGAAGGAAATGTTTATGTGACTAATAGTAATACCAACACCGTTATAGTAATATCTGAAGATGGTAAACATTATAGAGAACTTCTTACTAAATCAGATGGATTGGATAGGCCGTGGGGAATTTCTTTTGACAAAAAAGAAAACGTTCTGCTTGTTTGTAATTTTGGCGACGGAGATGTCTTTCTTTTTGACGTGAAGAACATAAATGAACATGAATAATTCTTTCAGACAATGAGTTTATTGTTTTTTGTGTGATCAACGCTTTAATTGCATGTGTGACATCAACTCAACTTGAAATGGAAATTAAGAGAAATTTTCCAAGGACGCGTTGTTCTTTGATTCACGTTCACTTACTGTTTGATAGTTGGAGAAAACCCAAAATTCAAAATATATTTCATCACATCTTTAAACTACATACATTGTTTAAGAAGACATTTGAATTTTGGTCACATGTATGTCCTCAATATTTTTTTGTTTCAAAATAATAACATTCTAAATGGATGTGTATGTAGTAAATAAAATCGGAACAAATTAAACATCGTATTGTGTCGTTGGGTTGCTGTCTCAGTGATTGATACTTCTTTTTTCTTTCATTTGTCAATTCATATCCTTCTTTCATCCCTATGAGAAAGATATTATCCATGAAAATGTTATCAGGCGTTCTCATCTCATCATTAGTACTTCGTCAATAAAAAAAGCGAAAGATACTAAAGGGGCATTCAAAACTGATAAGTCAAATGAGAACTGACGTCGCCATGACAAAAAAGAAACGAAAACAAAAAACCGTCCATTCAATAATACTTAGAAAACTAAAGGTTATCGCATAAGTGATACTGACATGTATCAGGTTTATTCCCAATCAATGAATACATAAAATCTAATTTAAGTAAATGAAAATATTTTTTTCTTCTGTTTGTTGTACACTGCAAAAGCAACATTGCGTTAATTGTGATTCTGATTTCGTAAACTTTGTAAATGCTGAAGACAAATTACATCAATTGTGTCATTTGAAGACGAAACGCGCGTGTGTCGCACTCAATTTTAAGGCTGGTATCTGTCAGAAGAATTTATTTATATATTAAGAACGGAAAACTATTTAAAGTGAATGCAATAAATGGGTTCATCAAGGTAGGCCGACAAAGATGAAGGTAGAATTTGGGCTGCCATCATAAACTATGGTATGTTGTACAGGGGAGAAAATAGACATTGCTATATGCAGTCTACAGCCCTCTTTTTAGTCGTTGCCAGTTGGATCATTTGCAGTGCAGAGGGCGTTGCATTACTCTACACGAGGCTTCAGAATTAACGTCCCCATTCCGACTAGACATGGTTGCGTATTTAAGCATCCAACAATTAAAGGTACGTCCCAAGTCAGGAGCATGTAGTTCAGTGGTTGTCGTTGGTTCACGTCTGTCATATTTGTTTTTCGTAAATTGTTTTGTTATATATTAGGCCATTAGTTTTCTCAATTGAATTGTTTTATATTTTTCTTGTCGAGGCCTTTTAGCCGACAATGCGGTATGGTTTTTTCTCATTGTTGAAGACCGTACGTTGGCCTATAATTGCTTACATCCACTTTATTTGAACTTTGGTGGATAGTTGTCTCATTGGCAATCATACCAGTTCTATCTTTTTTAAACAAGGGGATGCTGTTAGTCCCACATTATCTTATCTTTATATAAACGATCTTGTTGACGCGCTCAACCATGCAGTTATTCAGTCAGTAATATTGAAATATTGGTAATATAAAACTAGCATGTTTCATATATGCAGATGATATCATTTTATTATCAGAAACTCAAGAAGCGCTTCAGAAGGCCTTAAATGAATTAAAATAAATGATCCTATGGAAACTTGATCGTAATAAAAAAAAAATCAAAAATAATATAAAGTATTTATAATCTTCCTTCTCTTTTATCTATTATAAAGATCAACAATTTGTTGTACCCCAAGGGCTGATTAGGAAATAGAAATATGATCACCCATAGGTCTACATTCGGAAAGAGGATAAAAGCTTATGTGAAGGGTTACTGCCAGTCACCCAACGTCAAAACCGTAGCACTACGAATATTGTCTACGCAAGTTAATGTAGTCTCAACCAAAAAGGTAGATCTAAATACCTAAAGGGAAACATTGTAATTGAGCATTTATTTGCCATTGAAGTGCAATCTTCCTTGATTATCAAATTAAATAGAATAGCCTGTAATTTACAAGTAATATTGATTCCAGTAAAAAAAATAGATTAAAATCGACGATGTTATTACATATGCAACGTGACTCAGTTGATGCTAAACATTATAAATTAAGTCCAAGCTTCAAACGTATGTTGGAGAGTGAGTGCTCATCTGCCTCTACACACAGACTCTCAACTGGTGAGGTTTTAAAGGCTCCACGACACAGACGCAAACCCTGGTGATGCACAGCATCGAGAATGTATATGTAGGACTTCCTTGCAGAGCCATAATCTAGTTTAGATCTAACTAGAGATCTATATAAATTAAGTAAAATGTTGCGATCAGCACTCCAGTCAGTGCTGCCGACAACTTTTAAAATATATAATGCTTTTAAACATCTCGATTTTAACATTTTGATATGGGGTAGAAAGGTTAACTTTTTATCGAAAACTAACCCAAAAAATTTGGTTTCATCAACCATTTTAATTGGGTTTCCGTATAAGGTGAGTTCTGGATCAAGATGTAATTTCCTTTTGTTACAAAAAATGCTTCCCAAACAAATCAGACATGGTTAAACTTACTCTAACATTAAATTGTCTGTTAGACAGAAAATTCGAAATAAAATTTGGCATATTGCCTTTCAACCCCATGTCAAAAAGATCTTTTAAAATACCATACTTCCATGTAGTGCCATAGGCCTTTTCAAGATCGAAAAAGACTGACACCACGTGTTCATTTTTCGCAAAACCATTACGGACATATGATTCGAATCGAACAAGATGATCAAGAGTACTGTGGTACTGGATATTGGCTAATAGCTCATATGATTCCAGGAACCAAACAAGGCGATCATTGACCATCCGTTCTAGTGTTTTACAGACACAACTGGTAAGAGCAATTGGTCGATAGTTAATGGGATCCGTTTGATCTTTACTTGGTTTTGGAATAGGCACGACGGTTGCAAGCTTCAAGATTGATGGTAAATCACTAGATTCCCAGATGTTATTCATGAGCTGCAAAAGAGCTTCCAGCGAGGAAACTGGCAAGTGTTTTAAAAGTTGGTAGTGGATATTATCAGGCCAGCAGGCTGTATCATGGGACCTTGACAGATATGTTTTAAGTTCTTCCAGAGAAAAGAGTTTATTATAGTGTTCACCATTTTTCGATTTAAAGTTCAACTTAATGTTTTCCTTTTGTTCTTTTAACTTTTTTAAAATCTTCCCTGTAGTTGTTAGAAGAAGAAGATTCGCAAAAGTTTCACCAAGCTTGTTGGCAATATCTCTTTCAGATGTTAATAAAATATTGCCATTTTTCAATGTTTTACCGTGGCTTTAGAATTTTTACCTATTATCTTTTGTATCATGTTCCATACTTTTGTCATCGGAGTGCGAGATGTTATCCCCGAGACAAATTTGTTCCAAGACGTCCGTCGTACTTGCCTGCAAGACCGCCGTGCCTTAGTGCGAAAAATACGGAAATAGTATGTTGATTGAACCGGCTTTCAGATTTTTTACGGTCATCTATGGCTTCATTACAAGCGTCATCAAACCATGGTTTGCTGGGATGTATCGGATTTGCCGAGGTCTTAGGAATTGTTCTGTCAGCAATTGAAGTTAAAACTGTGTTAAAAGTTAAAATTGGATCTTGTACAGTCTCAAACATCTTTAAGAGAAGTTCTGCTCGACAGAGATTCTCAAAAAAGGACTAGTCCGCCTTGTCCAGTTTCCAACGTGGAACTCTCTGCTGAACAGAAGTAAAAAGATGTGCAAGTATTATTGGGAAGTGATCACTTCCACATAGATCATCATGGACACGCCATGAATAATCCAGAAGAAGAGACGGATCAAAAATAAAGATATCAATAGCAGAATATGACCCGTTTCCAGGGTGAAGATAAGTATTAGATCCATCATTAAAAATGCATAATCCTTCTTGAGAGACAAAGTCTTCAATGATCTTACCTTTGGCATTATGAGAGTTGCTTCCCCACAAGGGACTGTGGGCATTGAAGTCTCGCATAAGTATAAAAGGTGAAGGCAATTGATCAGTAAGGTTTTTGAGTTTAGCTTTATCTATATTTGAATTACTAGTAGGTGGAATATATATAGAACATAATGTAATTGTTTTATCTAATGATAAACGAATTGCAACTGCCTGCAGATTCGTGGTGAGTTGGACTGTGCTATGAATGACGTTGTCCTTCACAAAA